ATAGTTAGCTCTTCTTGTTGAATTGATCCCTTTACCATTATGAAATGGCCTTCTTTGTCTCTTTTGATCTTTGATGGTTTAAAGTCTGTTTTATCAGAGACTAGGATTGCAACCCCTGCTTTTTTTTTGTTCTCCGTTTGCTTGGTAGATCTTCTTCCATCCCTTTATTTTGAGCCTATGTATGTCTCTGCATGTGAGATGGGTATCCTGATTACAGCAAACTGATGGATCTTGACTCTTTATCCAATTTGCCAGTCTGTGTCTTTTAATTAGACCATTTAGTCCACTTACATTTAAGGTTAATGTTGTTATGTGTGAACTTGATCCTGTCATTGTGTTATTAGGTGGTTATTTTGCTCGTTAGTTGATGCGGTTTCTTCCTAGCATCAATGGTCTTTATGTTTTGGCATGTTTTTGCAATGGCTGGTACCGGTTGTTCCTTTCCATGTTTAGTGCTTCCTTCAGGAGCTCTTGTAGGGCAGGCCTGGTAGTGACAAAATCTCTAAGCATTTGCTTGTCTGTAAAGGATTTTATTTCTCCTTCACTTATGAAACTTAGTTTGGCTGGATATGAAATTCTGGGTTGAAAATTCTTTTCTTTAAGAATGTTGAATATTGGCCCCCACTCTCTTCTGGCTTGTAGAGTTTCTGCCAAGAGATCTGCTGTTAGTCTGGTGGGCTTCCCTTTGTGGGTAACCCGACCTTTCTCTCTGGCTGCCCTTGACATTTTTTCCTTCATTTCAACTTTGGTGAATCTGACAATTATGTGTCTTGGAGTTGCTCTTCTCGAGGAGTATCTTTCTGTTGTTGTCTGTATTTCCTGAATTTGAATGCTGGCCTGCCTGACTAGGTTGGGGAAATTCTCCTGAATAATATCCTGCAGAATATTTTCCAACTTGGTTCCATTTTCCCTGTCACTTTCAGGCACCCCAATCAGACGTAGATTTGGTCTTTTTACATAATCCCATATTTCTTGGAGGCTTTGTTCATTTCTTTTTCCTCTTTTTTTCTCTAGACTTCTCTTCTCACTTCATTTCATTCATTTGATCTTCAATCATTGATACTCTTTCTTCCAGTTGATTGTGTCGGTTATTGAAGCTTGTGCATTTGTCATGTATTTCTTGTGTCAGGGTTTTTATCCCTATCAGTTCGTTTATGGCCTTCTCTGCATTGATTATTCTAGTTATCCATTCTTCCATTCTTTTTTCAATATTAATTTCTTTGTGCTGGGTACATAGTTCCTCCTTTAGCTCTGAGAAGTTTGATCGACTGAAGCCTTCTTCTCTCAGCTCTTCAGAGTCATTCTCCATCCAGCTTTGATCCATTGCTGGCGATGAGCTGTGTTACTTTGAAAGGGGAGATGTGCTCTGATTTTTTGAATTTCCAGCTTTTCTACCCTGCTTTTTCCCCATCTTTGTGGTTTTATCTGCCTTTGGTCTTTGAAGATGGTGACTTACTGATGGGGTTTTGGTGTGGGTGTCCTTTCTGTTAGTTTTCCTTCTAACAGTCAGGACCCTCAGCTGTAGGTCTGTTGGAGACTGCTTGAGGTCCACTCCAGACTCTGTTTGCCTGGTATCAGCAGTGGAGGCTGCAGAAGATAGAATATTGCTGAACAGCAAGAGTTGCTGTCTGATTCTTGCTCTGAAAGCTTCATCTCAGGGGTGTACCCTGCCGTGTGAGGTGTGAGGTGTCGGTCTGCACCTAGTAGGGGATGTCTCCCAGTTAGGCTACTCAGGGGTCAGGGACCCACTTGAGCAGGAAGTCTGTCCATTCTCAGATCTCAACCTCCATGCCGGGAGATCCACTGCTGTCTTCAAAGCTGCCAGACAGGGTCATTTATATCTGCAGAGGTTTCTGCTGCTTTTTGTTTAGCTATGCCCTGTCCCCAGAGGTGGAGTCTACAGAGTCAGGCAGGCCTCCTTGAGCTGCGGTGGGCTCCACCCAGTTTGAGCTTCCTGGCGGCTTTGTTTACCTACTTAAGCCTCAGCAATGGCCGGTGCCCATCCCCCGGCCTCGCTGCTGCCTTGCAGTTAGATCTCAGATTGCTGTGCTAGCAATGAGGGAGGCTCCGTGGGTGTGGGACCCTCTGGGCCAGGTGTGGGATATAATCTCCTGGTGTGCCATTTGCTAAGACCCTTGGTAAAGTGCAGTATTAGGGTGGGAGTTACCCGATTTTCCAGGTGTTGTATGTCTCATTGTCCCTTGGCTGGGAAAAGGGATTCCCTTCCCCCTTGCACTTCCCAGGTGAGGCAATGCCTCGCCCTCCTTCAGCTCTCGCTGGTCAGGCTGCACCAGCTGACCAGCACCGATTGTCCGGCACTCGCCATTGAGATGAACCCGGTACCTCAGTTGAAAATGCAGAAATCTCCCATCTTCTGTGTCGCTTGCACTGGGAACTGGAGGCTGGAGCTGTTCCTATTCGGCCATCTTGCTCCGTGTCCCTGCATCTCTATATCTATCAAAAGTGGATAATAGTTGTAATAGAAGTAGTGAATAATTTATTCTTCAATTTAGGTAATTTCTTTCCTCCCAGGAACACAAAATAAAACACATAACAACTTTCTAATAACAAAATTTTTATCAGTCACTGGAACAATCCAGCAGGGGAGGATTAAGAGGGAAAAAATAGGAAAGAGTGAACCAAGAACAAGAAAGGCACAGAAAAACACTATTGGAGGGAGGCTTCTAAGGGCAAGAAAAGCAAATTTTAATAAAATAAAAAGCATTATGGCACCCAGTCCTGGGTCTTACTTTTAAAAATACTTCAAGTAACACAGCTTTAAAAACATTTATAAAATAATATTATGAAATTTTAGTTCTCTCTTGTTTCCTTAACAGATATGGAAAAAAATGAATCAAAGAGACCGACCATTCATGACAATTCAGAGAAATGATAGCTCAGGTATTTTTCCTACTTCCAACTCTGTTTTATTATTTGCACTGGATTATGTACTTTTGAAATGATATACAATTGGAATGTTGATTTTTCAAATATTTAAATAATGGAAAGCTTACTTTCTGGTTACGTTGAATGACTGGCCAGTTCCTTACAATGGGTTTGTTTTAATCCTCAACAGTGGTCAGGATACCCTTGCCGCCTTCTCCTTCTTCTGCTTCTGCTTCTGCTTCTGCTTCTGCTTCTGCTGCTGCTTCTGCTGCTGCTGCTGCTTCTTCTGCTGCTTCTGCTTCTGCTTCTGCTGCTTCTGCTTCTGCTTCTGCTTCTCCTTCTCCTTCTCTTCTCCTCCTCTCCTGCCTGCCGCCTGCTGCCTCCTCCTCTTCTCTTCCTTCTTCCTTCTCTCCTCTCCTCCTTCTCCTCCTCCTTCTCCTGCCCTCCTGCCTCCCCTTCCTCTTTCTTCTTCTTCTTTTTTCTCGTCTGTCTCCTTCTCTTCTTCCTTCCTTCTTCCTTCTTCTATCTTCTTCTTCTTCTTCTCCTTCCTCTTTCTCGTTCTTCTTTCTCTTCTCTTCCTTTTCTCTCCTTCTTCTCTTTCTTCTGCCTCTTCTCTTCCTCTTCTCCTCTTCCTTCTTCTTCTTCTCCTCCCTCCTTCTTCTTTCTCTCCTTCTTCTCCTCCTTCTCCTCGTCTTCTCCTCCTTCTCCTTCTCTCTTCTCCTTTTCTCCTTCTCTTCCTCCTCTTCTTCTTCTTCCTCCTCCTCCTCCTCCTCCTTTAAGTTCTGGGGAACATGTACAGAACGTGCAGGTTTGTTACATAGGTATACATATGCCATGGTGGTTTGCTGCGCCCAGCAACCCATCCTCTACATTAGGTATATCTCTTAATGCTATCCTTCCCCTAGCCCCCCAGCCCTCAACAGGCCCCGGTGTGTGATGTTCCCCTCCCTGTGTCCATGTGTTCTTATTGTTCAACTACCACTTATGAGTGAGAACATGTAGTGTTTGGTTTGCTGTTCTTGTGTTAGTTTGCTGAGAGTGATGGTTTCCAGCTTCATCCATTTTTATGGCTGCTTAGCATTCCATGGTGTATATGTGACACATTTTCTTCAACCAGTCTATCATTGATGAGAATTTGGGTTGGTTCCAAGTCTTTGCTATTGTGAACAGTGCCGCAATAAACATACATGTGCATGTGTCTTTATAGTAGAATGATTTATAATCCTCTAGGTATATACCCAGTAATGGGATTGCTGAATCAAATGGTATTTCTGGTTCTAGATCCTTGAGGAATCGCCACACTGTCTTCCACAATGTTTGAACTAATTTACAGTCCCACTAACAGTGTAAACGTGTTCCTATTTCTCCACATCTTTTCCAGCATGTGTTGTTTCCTGACTTTTTAATGATCACTATTCTAACTGGCATGAGATGGTATCTCACTGTGGTTTTGATTTGTATTTCTCTAATGACCAGAGATGATGAGCTTTTTTTTTTTTTTTTCATATGTTTGTTGGCTGCATAAATGTCTTCTTTTGAGAAATGTCTGTTCATGTCCTTCACCCACTTTTTGATGAGGTTGTTTTTTGCTTGTAAATTTGTTTAAGTTCTTCATTGATTCTGGATATTAGCCCTTTGTCAGATGGATAAATTGCAAAATTTTTCTCCCATTCTGTAGGTTGCCTGTGCACTCTGATGATAGTTTCTTTTGCTATGCAGAAGCTCTATATTTTGATTAGATCCCATTTGTCAATTTTGGCTTTTGTTGCCATTGCTTTTGGTGTTGTAGTCATGAAGTCTTTGCCCATGCCTATGTCCTGAATGGTATTGCCTAGGTTTTCTTCTAGGATTGTTATGGTTTTAGGTATTACATTTAAGTCTTTAATCCATCTTGAGTTAATTTTTGTATAAAGTGTAAGGAAGAGATCCAGTTTCAGTTTTCTGCATATGGCTAGCCAATTTTCCCAACACTATTTATTAAATAGGGAATCCTTTCCCCATTTGCTTGTTTTTTCAGGTTTTTCAAAGATCAGATGGCTTTAGATGTGTGGCTTTATTTCTGAGGCCTCTGGTCTGTTCTATTGGTCTACATATCTTTTTTGGTACCAATCCCATGCTGTTTTGGTTACTGTAGCCTTGTAGTATAGTTTGAAGTCAGGTAGCATGATGCCTGCAGCTTTGTTGTTCTTGCCCAGCATTGTCTTGGCTTTGTGGGCTCTTTTTTGGTTCCATAATAGTTTAAAGTATTTTTTTCTGATTCTGTGAAGAAAGTAAATGGTAGCTTGATAGGGATAACATTAAATCTATAAATTACTTTGGGCAGTATGGCCATTTTCACAATATTTATTCTTCCTATCCATGAGCATGGACTATTTTTCCATTTGTTTGTGTCCTCTCTTATTTCCTTGAGTAGTGGTTTGTAGTTCTCTGTGAAGAGGCCCTTCACATCACTTGTAAGTTTATTCCTAGGTGTTTTACTCTCTTTGTAGCAATTGTGAATGGGAGTTCACTCATGATTTTGTGCTCTATTATTGGTGTATAGGAATGCCTGTGACTTTTGCACATTGATTTTGTATCCTGAGACTTTGCTGAAGTTGCTTATCAGCTTAAGGAGATTTTGGACTGAGATGATGGTGTTTTCTAAATATACAATCATGTCATCTGCAAACAGAGACAATTTAACTTCCTCTCTTCCTATTTGAATACCCTTTATTTCTTTCTCTTGCCTGACTGCCCTGGCCAGAACTTCCAATACTATGTTGAAGTGGAGTGGTGAGAGAGAGCATCCTTGTCTTGTGCCGGCTTTAAAAGGGAATGCTTCCAGTTTTTGCCCATTCAGTATGATATTGGTTGTGGGTTTATCATAAATAGCTCTAATTATTTTGAGATCTGTTCCAGCAATACCTAGTTTATGGAGAGCTTTAGCATGAAGGGCTGTTGAATTTTATCAAAAGCCTTTTCTGCATCTATTGAGATAATCACGTGGTTTTTGTCATTGGTTCTGTTTATGTGATGAATTACGTTTATTGATTTGCATTTTGTTGAACTAGCCTTGCATCCCTGGAATGAAGCCAACTTGATCGTGGTGGATAAGCTTTTTGACGTGCTGCTGGATTCGGTTGCCAGTATTTTATTGAAGATTTTTGCATTGATTTTCATCAGGGATATTGGCCTGAAATTTTATTTTTTTGTTGAGTCTCTGCCAGGTTTCGCTATCAGGATGATGATGGCCTTATAAAATGAGTTAGGGAGGATTCCCTCTTTTTTTATCGTTTGGAATAGTTTCAGAAGGAATGGTACCAGTTCCTCTTTGTACCTTGGTAGAATTCAGCCGTGAATCCATCTGGTCTTGGACTTTTTTTGGTTGGCAAGCTATTAATTACTGCCTCAATTTCAGAACTTTTCAACTTCTTCCTGGTTTCGACTTGGGAAGGTGTATGTGTCCAGGAATTCATACATTTCTTCTAGATTTTCTAGTTCATTTGCATAGAGGTATTTGTAGTATTCTCTGATGGTAATTTGTATTTCTGTGGGATCATTGGTGATATACCCTTTATCAATTTTTATTGTGTCTATTTGATTCTCCTCTTTTTTCTTCTATATTAGTCTGGCTAGCAGTCTATTTTGTTAGTTTTTTCAAAAAACCAGCTCCTGCATTCATGGATTTTTTTGAAGGGTTTTTCTTGTCTCTAGCTCCTTCATTTCTGCTCTGATCTTAGTTATTTCTTGTCTTCTGCTAGCTTTTGAATGTGTTTGCTCTTGCTTCTCTAGTTCTTTTAATTGTGATATTAGGGTGTCAATTTTAGATCTTCTCCATGCTTTCTCTTGTGGGCATTTAGTGAGATAAATTTCCCTCTAAACACTGCTTTAAATGTGTCCCAGAGATTCTGGTACATTGTATCTTTGTTCTCATTGGTTTCAAAGAACTTATTTATTTCTGCCTTAATTTTGTTACTTACCCAGTAGTCATTCAGGAGCAGGTTGTTCAGTTTCCATGTAGTTGTGTAGTTTTGAGTGAGTATCTTAATCCTGAGTTCTAATTTGATTGCACTGTGATCTAAGAGACTGTTATGATATCCATTCTTTTGCATTTGCTGAGGAGTGTTTTACTTCCAACTCTGTGGTCAATTTTAAAGTAAGTGAGATGTGGTGCTGAGAAGAATGTATATTCTGTTGATTTGGGGTGGAGAGTTCCGTAGCTGTCTATTAGGTCTGCTTGGTCCAGAGCTGAGTTCAAGTCCTGAATATCCTTAATTTTCTGTCTTGTTGATCTGTCTAATATTGACTGTGGGGTGTTAAAGTCTCCTATTATTATTGCGTGGGAGTCTGTCTCTTTGTAGGTCTCTAAGAACTTGCTTTATGAATCTGTATTGGGTGCATATATATGTAGGATAGTTAGCTCTTCTTGTTGCTTTGATCTCTTTAGCATTATATAATGCCCTTCTTTGTCTCTTTTGATCTTTGTTGGTTTAAAATCTGTTATGTCAGAGACTAGGATTGCAACCCCTGCTTTTTTTTTTTCTTTTGCTTTCCATTTGCTTGGTAAATATTCCTCCATCCCTTTATTTTGAGCCTGTGTGTATCTTTGCATATGAGGTGGATCTCCTGAATAGAGCACACTGTTGGGTCTTGACTCTTTATTCAGTTTGTCAGTCTGTGTTTTTAATTGGGGGCATTTAGCCATTTACATTTAAGGTTAGTATTGTTACGTGTGAATTTGATCCTGTCATCATGATGCTAACTGATTATTTTGTCTGTTAGTTGATGCAGTTTCTTCATAGTGCCGATGGTCTTTACAATTTGGTATGTTTTTGCAGTGGCTGGTACCAGTTGTTCCTTTCTGTATTTAGTGCTTCCTTCAGGAGCTCTTGTAAGGCAGTCCTGGTGGTGACAAAATCTCTCAGCATTTGCTCGTCTGTAAAGGATTTTATTTCTCCTTCATTTATGAAGCTTAGTTTGGCCGGATATGAAATTCTGGGTTGAAAATCTTTTCTTTAAGAATGTTGAATATTGGCCCCCACTGTCTTCTGGCTTGTAGGGTTTCTGCAGAGAGATCCACTGTTAGTCTGATGGGCTTCCCTTTGTGGGTAACCGAACCTTTCTCTCTGGCTGCCCTTAACATTTTTTCCTTCATTTCAACCTTGGTGAATCTGATGATTATGTGTCTTGGGGTTCCTCTTCTGGAGGAGTATCTTTGTGTTGTTGTCTGTATTTCCTGAATTTGAATGTTGGCCTGTCTTACTTGGTTGGGGAAGTTCTCCTGGATGATATCCTGAAGAGTGTTTTCCAACTTGGTTCCATTCTCCCTGTCACTTTCAGGTACACCAATCAAACATAGGTTTGGTCTTTTCACATAGTCCCATATTTCTTGGTGGCTTTGTTTGTTCCTTTTCATTCTCTTTTCTCTAATCTTATCTTCATATTTTATTTCATTAAGTTGATATTCAACCTCTGATATCCTTCTTTCTGCTTGATCCATTTAGCTATTGATACTTGTGTATGCTTCATGAAGTTCTTGTGCTGTGTTTTTCAGCTCCATCAGATCATTTATGTTCTTCTCTAAACTGGTTATTCTAGTTAGCAGTTTGACTAATTTTTTTCAAGGTTCTTAGCTTCGTTGAATGAGGTTAGAACATGTTCCTTTAGCTTGGGGGAGTTTGTTATTACCCATCTTCTGAAACCTACTTCTGTCAATTCGTCAAATTCGTTTTCCATCCAGTTTTGTTCCCTTGCTGGTGAGGTGTTGTGATCCTTTGGAAGGGAAGAGGCATTCTGGTTTTTGGAATTTTCAGCCTTTTGGCACTGGCTTCTCCCCACCTTTGTGGATTTATCTATTTTTGGTCTTTGATGTTGGTGACCTTTGGCTGGGGTTTCTTTTTTGTTGATGTTGATGCTATTCCTTTCTGTTCATTAGTTTTCCTTCTAACAGTCAGACCCCTCTGCTGCAGGTCTGCTGGAGTTTGCTGGAGGTCCACTCCACATCCTGTTTACCTGGGTATCACCAGTGGAGGCTGCAGAACAGCAAAGGTTGCTGCCTGTTCCTTCCTCTGGAAGCTTTGTCCCAGAGGGGCACCCGCCAGCTGCCAGCTGGAGCTCTCCTGTATGAGGTGTCTGTCTGTCCCTTCTGGGAGGTGTGTCCCAGTCAGAAGACATGGGGGTCAGGGACCCAGTTGAGGAGGCAGTCTGACCCCTAGCAGAGCTCGAACACTGTGCTTGGAGATCCGCTGCAAGGAGCTGACAGACAGGGAAGTCTAAGTTTGGTGAAGCTGCACTCACAGCCGCCCGCCCCTTCCTCCAGGTGCTCTGTCTCAGGGTGATGGGAGTTTTATCTATAAGCCCCTGACTGAGGCTGCTGCCTATTTTTCAGAGATGCCCTGCCCAGAGAGGAGGAATCTAGAGAGGTAGTCTGTCTACAGCAGCTTTGCTGAGCTGCAGAGGGCTCTGCCCAGTTGGAACTTCCCTGTGGCTTTGTTTACACTGTGAGAGGGAAATCACCTACTCAAGCCTCAGTAATGGTAGACACCCCTACCCCCACCAAGCTCAATCATTCCTGGTCAACTTCAGACTGCTATGCTGGCAGCAGGAATTTCAAGCCAGTGGTTCTCAGTTTGCTGGGCTCCATGTGGGTGGGATCCACAGAGCTAGACCACTTGGCTCCCTGGCTTCAGCCCCCTTTCCAGGGGAGTGAACGGTTCTGTCTCACTGGCATTCTAGGCACCACTAGGGTATGAAAAAACTCCTGCAGCTAGCTCGGTGTCTGCTGAAATGGCTGCCCAGTTTTGTGCTTGAAACCCAGGGCCCTGGTGGCATAGGCATTCAAGGGAATCTCCTGGTCTGTGGGTTGCAAAGACCATGGGAAAAGCATAGTATTTGGGCTGGGGTGCACCATTCCTCATGTCACAGTCCCTCATGATTTCCCTTGGCTAGGGGAGGGAGTTCCCCAACTCCTTGTGCTTCCTGGGTGAGGTGACACCCCACTGTGCTTCGGCTTGCTGTCCATGGGCTGCACCCACTGTCTAACCAGTCCCAGTGAGATGAGCCAGGTACCTCAGTTGGAAATGCAGAAATCACCCACCTTCTGCATCAATCTAGCTGGGCACTGCAGACTAGAGCTGTTCCTATTTGGCCATCTTGCCAGGTCTCCCTACCCTTGCTTTCTTTCACTGTGATTGGCCTGAAATCATTTGAGAGCTTTCTATAGTCATGTGATCCATGATTTACTTAATAAATCCTAATTACTTTATATGACACAGATGAATTATTCATATAATTGAGGTGGAAGTACATGTTTTGTTTGAGTTACTCAAGTTATTGTATATTTTATGCTACTTGAACTTAGAGTAACCCTTGCTTGTGTTTTGCTTTATCCAAATGGCTCATATCATACCGGACTAGGACATTGTATATATCTGGATGTAGATTACTCAAACATCTTACATGGTTTTAATATTTTTCAATGTATTAAACTTTTAGCTTTCAGTTTCAACCTTTTTTCAAATTTAATTAAAATTATTTTGATTTTTCTAAGTTAAAAATGCATCTATGATTGAAAAATCTATTTATATAATTTGATTTATAACGATGTGATACTTAATATTCACAGTTGATGTCTATCACATTTTAAATAAAAAGAATGAGTTAACAGTCATCATACGTTGTAGCTTGGCATTATAATTTTCTAAAATCTTCAATATACAGTACTAATTTAGCTGAAAGCATTCCCTCTGTACCCTTTCAGAAGTAATGTTGTGCAAGAAATAAAGGGGCTATATTATAATAATTTCTAGAAATAGAGGCCTCAAATATATTATCAATATTGTAATATATTATTTCTTGTGTTTGCTTAAAAATATTTAAAAATAAGATCTGAAGTCGACATGTTGCCCTAATTATATTTTGACTTCCAATAACATGATATTCTTTCTTTGTCATTTTTCTATTTTTATACCTAATAGATCATCTGGTATTGCATATGAAAAATGAGATGAGAAACACCAAGTACAAACCAGTAGACTATCAACAATTGCGTGTATTAACTGAAGCAAAGAAATTAGCTTCTGCCTCTGCAGAGCTAAAGGTTGGAAGTTATGTGTGTATGTGTTTTTCTAGTTTTAGAAAATTGAATTGCTAGAAAGTATTTACAATGTAAATGTGAAAATAAATGACATTCCAAATAGTTGTTAGAAACTCCCAAATAGTAATAATAGTGAATAGCAGCTAACATTTATCGAATGCTCTCAGACACCATTATATAGTTTACATGCATTCTTTACCCATTTAATGTTTAGAACAACTCTTTGAGGTCTGAATTCCACTTTATTTTTTGAAAGACAGTTATTTTATTAGCTTTCAACAACTTCCAACTTAATCTGAAGAATAAAAATTGTTAGTAATTACCAGCTGCTGACTATTATCTGATTAAGGCTCCTTCTCCAACACTATACAAATATGTCCTCAGGTGCTCTCTTTTCTAGAATTCCGTTTTTGGCTTAAAGATATGTTCCAAGCCAGGGTGAACCTAGGCTAGATTTGAAACGAGATTATGTGCAAGTGATTTTGCACAATATTTTAGGACCATGTATAGTTTAGGATTACTCACACAGTATGATTCTTTCTTGTGGAAATAATAGAGTTCATTGAAAACAGTATTTTCATTACTTGGCTGCAGTAAAAACAGGTTAGGTGAGGCAACTTGTTACATAATTTGCATGTTGTTTGTATTCATAATTTTCATGGTTTGTTCATTTTGCCTTTTATTGTTAATATCTTTTTTTTATAGAAGGCAATTGTTATGATTTCAAAGCACATTTGATACTCTATTCTGGAGAGATTACCATATATTCATGGGCTATATCTCCTCAAACTAAGGCAACCACTTAAAAGCCAGGGCATTATTTATGGTTTATATAACTTTAAAATAAGTTAATGTTATGGGAACATTCAAAGAAATTTTGTGGTAAAGTCACTTATATTACTATTATCCTAACAAAACTTTTCATATTCCTGACTTCTGTTTATTGTACACGTATATATAAACATAAACATATTACGCATTTTATTTTTCCCATGATAAGCATAGACATGAAATCATGTACACTTTTCTCCCTAACAGTCTGTCACATAATCTTTTAAATATTTAATTGTTCAAGCCAGTACATATTTATTATGTGTCTACTATTTGCCTTGAAGATACAATGGTAAGCAAAATACAGCCCTTGCCTTTATGAAATTTACTGTTTGCTGGGGGAGGGAGAGGAGTCAGTGTTTATCAAATAAGCCTGGAAGTAAAATTATCCAAAGTATAAACTGCAATAAAAACCATGCTGTCTGGTGTATAATAGGATTTGATCTTTACTGAGTGGTTAGGGAAGGCTTTTCTGAGGAAGGGATATTGGAATTGGGATCTCAAGGCCAATAAAGTACAAAGTTACAATGAGATAGGAAGAATCAGTTCTGGTGTTCTATTGCACAGTAGGGTGAGGATGAATAACAGTAAGATATTGTATATTACAAAACAGAAGAGAGGCTGTTGAATATACTCCCCACAAAAAAATGATAAATGCATGTGACGATGGCCGTGCTAAATACCCTGATTTAACGTATATTTTTATATAATATATATGTATCAAAACATCAAATTGTGCCCATAAATATGCACAATTACAGTATGTCAATTAAAAATATAATACAAAAGAATTAACTAGGTAAAAACAGGAGTGACAAGTACTCCGAAGAGAAAATGATGCATGCATTATCCCACCCCAATTTTTAGATATTTGAGATGTACCCAATTTTGTGATAATAGAAATTATGCTACTTCAAGCATAGAGACTTTTCATGTTTTAGAATCGTCTACTCTCATAGGAAAAATTCCCATGATTGGGACATCTGGATCAAAAATGTGAGTGTTTTTTAGTGTTTTTGAGACTTGTTACCAAATTTCTTTCCCAAGGTATTGTTTTAATGAAGATACCAAACAAATGTATTCTCTACACCCTTGTCAGTATTGGAATAGATAAATATTCATGTATGTATATATACACACTTATATTTCTAATACTATCCATCCATCCATCCATTCGAGATGTACCAAAAAAGATATTTTGACTGAATGTAGAATGGTTGAGTGTTAAAATCAGTATTTTGTCAAAGTGAATTTCTCTTTGGTGATAGACTCATTATGAAAGAATCAATATATTTCAGATTTTTAATTATTATTGTGGTCTTTATAGTTTGGTATCAAGTGCAGGAACAATAATTTCTCAGCACTGTCAGCTGCTAGATTGCCACTCTGGTCACTGTATTTACATATTTGTGCGGTTAAACAGATGCTCACTTTCAACTGGCATTTTAAATAAGATCAGTAACCTTTTTGTTCATAGCGGAATGTAATTCAGGAAGAAGCTTTTCTAGAAATAACTGTGTACCTGGGATTCATAGCTTGGCAAATCTCAAAAAAATCCCTTGTCTTTAACTAATGAAAACGGTTCACAGTCTGTAGCAATCATTTTGACAAGCTTTTGCTTCCGTTTTCAGTCTCCGTAGATTCATGATGATAAGGAATTGTCCTTTTAAAGCATTTTGGAATGTCTGTTGTTTTGAATTTCAGTTAGTGAAAACAAAATGTGTCCTAGGTACTTCATCATTTTCTAACACTTACTTTTTTTTATTCATGCAGTTTTCATTTTTTATTATATCTGGATTAAGGAAAATGCATTGGGAATATTGTTGTACATTATTTTTTGGAGTCTTCCCTTCTAATTTAATTTAAAGGTGGCAAGTTGACATTTTGCTTTTAATTTATTCTTGTAAGTTGTGAACAATTGCCAAATAGGACTTTTTCTTAAAAGACTCATGGCTTAAGTGGAATTAAATAAATGGAAATTAAATACAACTCAAAGTTTTTTTTTTAATGTCCTGAATGCTAAGATAAAAAACAATCCACACTAACTAGAATTATGATTATAATAGTATCTCTGTTATTCTTTCATATATTACTTGAATTAAAAATATGTAGGCTCAAAAAGAACATATTATTATTCTTAATGTTTCATAGCTAACACATTCTCTCTTAATATTTGTGTTAGTTATTGGCCTACTTCCCTGTTTATTTTACCATTTAAGTGCACTCTTTTTTTAGACATGTAATTTACAGTTTTAATAATCATTGTTAATTATTACAGCACTTTTCTCTGGCAATATTAAATATAAACATATTTAAATAAAATGATAAAATATTAACATTTAAAGCACAAAAAGAGATTATTGCTTCAAGTTACATCTAGAATGCATAGTTACCTGTCTGATTTATACTACTGATATTATTAACAAGCTAGATGTGATGGTCATCTATATAATCACTGTGTCATTGATCATGCACAATTTCTTGGATGTCAACCATATAAGACTGAAGTGGACAGTCAGTGATCTAGTCTTTCAAAGGCTGAGATTGAACCTGAAAACAAATAATGGAGTTGGGCTAAAAACTGAGACCAATTTTGGTACATTGTGTGTAACTGTTCATTCCCAGTGTATTAACTGTTAAAAAGATCTTTACAATTATTTTTAAATTTGAATTTCTTTGCTTAGATACTTCTTGTACAGCTCAAGGCTTCATTAATTCTTTTAAAAATGTTATAGAAAATTATAAACATATGAACAAGTGGATTGAATGGTATAGTGAATCTCCATGTCACATCATTCAGCTTCAACAATGATCAACTTTTGACCATTGTTTCCTCTATACTCCTACCCACAAACCACCCCCTGTGCCAGATTGTTTTGAAGCAAATCACAGACATCATATTTCACTCATAAATATTTCAACATGTATTGCTGAAATAATAAAGATTTTTAAAAAGCCTGTAATACTATTACCATGTCTAAAAATGTTATTGTCTTAATAATTTCAAATATGTAGTGTTAAATTTTCCTGATTATCTCAAAAATTTTGTCTTAAAGTTTGTTTAAATCAGCTTCTAGATATGATCTGTACATTATAACTTTTTTTTTAGATTTGCTTCTCTATCCTCTTGTATTTTGTAATTTATTTTTTGAAGAAATTGTATTGTTTGTCTTATAGTCTGAATTAGGCAGATTACATCCTGGTGGTGCCATTCAACATGTTTTTCTGTTTCTTGTGTTTCCAGTAAATTGATAGTTATATTTAGGGACTTGATCAGATTCAAGTTCAATTAATTTTGGCAAGAACACTTATTGATGGAAGTTTTGTGCTCTAATCTTTTTCTATTACAAATGGTACTGCAGTGAATAGGTTTGTGCATATATCCTTTATACTTTCACCAATATAGTTTTCAGATGAATTTCTATAAATGAAGCTGCTAGGTCACCGGATAAATCCATGTGAAATCTTGTGATACATCTCCAAATTCCCTTCTGTGGGGGTTGTATCACTTTGTATTCCCACTAGCAATATTAGAGGGAACATGCTTTCTTTAGTTTCACAGAGTGTTTTGTTAAACAACTGAGTTTTTGCCAATCCAATAAATGAGAAATTGCATCTTACTGTAGTTGTTTTTTCTTTTTATTTGTGTTAACAGTTCTTTATTGAGTTATAACTCACATGTAGTAAAATGTATATATCTCAAACGTACATCCCAGTGACATTTGACAAACATACACATACATGTAACCAGTTGTCTACTAGTTATTGACATCTGTCTCAAAAGATGGATCTTCTGATTCAAAGGACTTTTGTAATATTTCAAGATGCCTATTTAGGTTTTATTATCTTGGACCATCACAATAAGTCATATACAGGAAACCCCTGGTTTCTAAGTCTTTTGTGAATTCATTGTTTTGTCATTTTTCCAGAGTATTTTTGAATCGTCAGCATTCTGCACAAATTATCATCTACCCTAAGTATTGACTTTATATGGCATATTGCCCAGTAAAATGAATTGGAATCACCTAGACATCTCTCTGTTGGTAAAGATAGAACTTTAAATCTTTTTGCTCTTTTTAAGACTTTATTTTATTTTATTTTTTCATTTTTGGCCCGAGGATAGAAGTGGAATCAATGAGTGAATTTATAAAAAAAATCAGTGTGTTGTGCAAAATATTGGAATTGTCTAGTGAAAAATATTAGCTTTATTTTGACTTTTATTGTCTACGTAATTGGACTTTCCCTGCGCCCAAAGGCGAGAGCATTGATTTTTTTTACAAACTATGAAAATGTGTCCCCGTCTTTCACCAATGTATTTTAATTTTTTTGTACTATGTGTACCAAATATGCCAAAGAAATCTAATTTTAAAATTAGATTTTAAAATTAATTGTATCTGTTGCAACAAACTTTAGATCCTGTGTATGGTAAATGGCTAGAATGAGTTTTAAGCATTCTTAAAGCGAACATTAAAATGTCAGATTTTAGAAATACTGTGTACTTGTATTTTTTGATAGGTAAAATAGAGACTGCTGAATGTTTTTCTGCAGTGTCCTGTGCTTTTAAAAATGTACTTCCCTCCTAAATTTTATAATTGTAACACTCTTAAGACCTTCTTAGGAAAATATTTGACTTTGACTTTGTAGTTTTTAAAAGTAATCTTTGGGTTGTTTTCTTATATCCCTAATTTTAAATCAGTAACCAGAACAGCAGAAAGATAAACTCAAGGTTAAAGCAATCAGTGAATGACGGCTGGAAATAGCATGCATTATAAAGATTCCTTTTTAGAACTTGTCTTCTGAAGTCTTTACATCTCCAGTATTGATCTTTTAAAGCTTGTAGGGTACTAAGTGCTTTAACAGCAGAGAAATTATGAAATATGTGTATTTCATCAAGTTTCTGATTTACAGTTTTGTAGTTTAAAATTGTTAATATGGAATACTTGAGTTTGGAGTACACATGAGTATAAGTTAGAGTCTAACCAGGGAACAGACATCACTTGAGGATTCGGAGTAGAGGGATTTTTAATGTAGGAAGATGGTTATGCAGGTGATAGCATGAGAAGGCAGAGGACTGGGAGGCAATACAGAAGTTGACAAGAACAGGAAGTCACTGCCATCCGTAGGTCAGAGGGGCATACAGAAGAAGCAAGGCCATGCCACATTCCTGGGGTGAGGTTACCCAGAGATAGTTGGAACGTAGCGGAACTGTTCAGAGAAAAGTTGGGGCAATGGATATGAGCAAATGCTCCTGGAGACGCTGTGAGAGTAGAGAAGGCAAGATGATGTAATCCTTCGGCTTCTCCTTTCTTCCCTGCCTTCAGTCTCCCATGCCAGGGTCTTGCTTTGGCTGAAGCCAACTGATAGGGCTGCCTGAGAAACACAGGCTGCTCTGTGAGATGGAGCAGATCAGGCAAACAGCCAGAAATGGATCTAAGGCAAATAGATCCAGGGCTGATATAACCTTTCAGCTGAAACCCAAAAGCATTCATTATGTGCTACATTTTTAAAAAGTCATAAAATTGAGGAAAAATTAAGTTCAGTTGAAGATTTAGATTTCAATGCTACATGATTTTTCATATTTCTTTAAGTATCATCAAATAAATATTTGCTTAAATTAAAAAATTTTGTTTACAAAGATGTACATAGAGTTGAAAGATTAAAATTGTGTGTTCAAGGTCATATTTCTAGTAAATGTTGAAGCCAGGCCTCCTAAAAACTTATCCAATGAATCTTTCCCATCTTATGCTGAGGGATCAGATAGAAACCAAACTAAACATCAAGGTTCTTTGTTACTCTGATGTTTATGAGCTTTATGATCTTGACAACATCTTTTATCTTCTTATACATTCAATAAATATTGTCCTCCAAAAATGTGAATAAAGATGCCTATTATAGCTGACAGGGAAGATAAACCCAAAAGGGTAGAAATGAGACCTCTTGAAAAATTTTCTGGGGTGATATGAATTAAGGTATTATTTATTTCATGTATGGAAAATAGAATGACTTCACCTTTAATAAGTACTTTAAAAACAGTTCTTAAGGTTGTCAGTATTCCTAACTATTTTTCTTTCTCCTCCCTGCTTTAAGAAATCAAACTTATTTTAGGTAGATTTTGTGTTAGAAGATGCACTAATAAGAATTTAAAAAGAGCGACTATTTAACTTAGAAAATTCAGATTAAACATTTCTTTGTGAAAAACACATTCTGAAATCTTTGAAGTTGCTCCTCTTTTGTTCCTCCAAATCTAGATCAGAAAAGCAATGTTGACTTCAAAGATATCCAAAGAACAAACACTAATAAAACAACACAAGCAAGTGTGGTGGCAGGAATACCAGAGGCTGAATGAAGTCAGGTAAGAACTGGAGGAAATAGTTAAGAACACGTAGGAATTACTAGGAATCGCACTTATCTCGTCAGATGTTCTATAATGTTCCATGTTAATTAACCATTGCAACAAAAAATTTAAAGTTACAGTTTGAATGTGAGTTAAATTAAAATCCTTTCATTTCCTCAGCTTAATCTGAAATCCAGTGAATATATTAATATGGCTTTTGCCTTCTTTCGGAAAGAAGATAATCTTCTGTATGTGCCAATCACTTCCACACTCCCACTCTCATACTTGTATTTACTTGTATCATACTTAGCATATTGGATTATAATGTTTTGGTTACATGTTTTTTCTTCCCTATAAAGTGGTAGAGATCCTATCACAGGCAAACATCTTATCATATTCATTTTTATATAGTAGAATACATAGGAGAGATGTAAATGCTTTTAATACATGGATGTATTGAACAAGGAGTTCAAGTTGCAAATGGTTTCCGGGTGTGACTGCATCATTACTAACTTACTCAAGTTTGCTTTTTGACTTTTGTTATTATTTCCAGCAGTCACATAAAGATAAATTAAAATGAAATATTGCTTCTACAGTTGATCTTCATTGTAATCTTTGAAAAATTAGTTTTTTTCAAAAGTCAAGGCAAAAAAAGAAGGCAGATGTGTTTCTCCTTCATTTATAGCATATATACTTCTTTTAGTGATGATGTTTATAAAGTGTGCTTTTAAAATGTGCATTTTAAATCATTTATATCAAAAAAGGTAATTTCTGTGGTCTTATTCCAAGTAAAGTTTCTAAATACCATTAACTTTACTTTTGACTTAGGTATTTTTCATGTTGATTAGTTTCTTATTCTGGCAGGTGACTCCTCTGTGAAGTAGAAGGCTTATAATTGAAAGTGGTTTTACATTATTATGTAACTTAAAACATAGAAAAACAGAGTTATATGGACTTCATCACCATACATCTACTATAAAAACAATGAAATTAGACCCATCCCATCCCTCAAAAGTCACCTTTTGTGGAGAGAATGTTTCAGCCCATTGGAATTTTTTTTTTAAAAAATGTGCATAACTTGAAACATGACAAAAAGGAAAGCCATTAGGAAGCTTTAATTATGGTGTTCACTGATTCCAGTTCAAATGTCAAGGAAGACACTGGGTAAACTTTTTTTTTTTTTTTTAATCTTGGCTATTCCACATCTTTCTTACTGTGTATATTAAGTTGTTCTTAAGGTAGGTAGAAGAGATGTATATATATCATGATGGAAAATAATTCTTTTGGCTGACCTGGAATGACACAAAGAAAATGGAGGTGGGGAACACTTAGGTAATGATAACCTTAATGTCTCAGAACTTCTAAGGGCTGAAAATTGGACAAAATGAAGAATTCCAGGATAAGTTTCTGTGTTATTCTAGAATGCAGGCTAATTTCAATTTGTGTTCGGTGCTACTGAAAACTAACAGCAATAGGAGATAAGTTAGAGAAATGACTACCTTGTGGAGAATTTAGGGCCACCAACAAATTAGAAGTAGTTAAAGTCCTAACAGTGTTTTTCAACCTTTAGAAATCGACATCCCCTTTTAATAAGTAAGATTCTATGCCTTACCATAAAAGACAATGTTTAAGAATCTCAGGCAGGCAGAGGATAAGGGCCTACAATGACACCTAATGTTTGTTAGGTAATTTAATATGTGCCAGGTAATACTAGATTGGGCAAAAGCCACAATTATTTTTGCACCAACTGAATATGTTAAGTCCTTTACATGTTTTATCTCCTTTAATATTTACAATGACCCTACAAAGTAGTAGTTATTGCTGTCTCAGTTTTACAAATGAGAATCTTGTGTCTCAGATAATGAAAGGTATTTGTAGATCATAAATAACCTAGTCTGTGTGGAGCTGGGATTGGAACGTTTGCCCCTAATTTCTGTGCTCTATGACCTTGGAGTTGAGTAGCTTTTTCCTTTTTCTACGGGGTTCTGTTTACGTCAGCTGAGATCCAACTGGTCTAGCCTTGCTGGCAAAAACAAAAGAAGTTTTGCCAGGGTGTGATGGTGCATACCAGTAGTCCCAGCTACTTGGGAGGCTGAGGCAGGAGGATCACTTGAGCCTAGGTGTTCAAGTCTGCAGTGCGTTATGCTTGCACCTGTGAACAGCTACTGCAGTCTAGCCTGGGCAACATTGTGAGACCCCATGTCTAAAAACAACAAAACAAAATGAAAACAAATTGCCAAACTTTAATTCTTTGTAATCTGTACTAAGAAAACTAGACAACATTTTCAAATGTAAAATTATGTTTAATATTTACATTTATACCATTTTATTTAAATTGTGTTATGCTTAATGAAACTATACCCCTTGAGGTTTTTGATATACTTTCCCAGAGGTACTTTCTCCATTGTTTCATTCTGGTACCACAAAGAATCCCTTAAGTTTTTGTGTGCTCGTTTGCCCAGATGACGTAATAATCTACTCAGTGCAACCACCTGCAAATAAGACACCCTGGTGAAGGGCATTTTTGAGCCTTCAGGTGTCTACCTTGGTACAGGTTCTTATCCTTCCGGAAAGGTGCCAAAGTTCTAGGTAGAGAATCAGTCTCCTCAGAACATCAAAAATTACCCATATCTTCATTTTTTTGGCAGTTTATATGCTCTGTTATGACTTTCTGGGTGCCGAGCTAGATGGTTTTTAAGTGCTATGTTTTTGGTTAAACAAATCTGTTCTGGAATAACTTCTGGTTTGACTCAACCATTATGCACTCATCCTCCATGTAACAGTTGCAAATGTGATCTTAAAAATATTTCTGGCAGAAACTACCTGCTGGAAAAACAGACAGTGAGGTATCATTTACAATATCACCCCTCCTTTATACATTTAAACAAAAACCAAATCTTTGTCCCATGTAAATTGGCTTAGAAAATTATGACACAGCACTTTGGGAGGCCGAGGCAGGTGGATCACCTGAGGTCAGGAGTTTGAGACTAGCCTAGCCAACATGGTGAAATCCTGTCTCTGCTAAAAATACAAAAATTAGCCAGGCATGGTGGCGCGTACCTGTAGTCCCAGCTACTTGGGAGGCTTAGGCATGAGAATCACTAGAACTCAGGAGACAGAGGTTGCAGTGAACCGAGATTGTGCCACTGCACTCCAGCCGGAGTGACCAAGGGAGACTCGGTCAAAAAAAAAAAAAGTATTTATATGTATATATATGTACATACTTGTGTACACATATATATGTATACATATATAAGCTCATGAAGATTTGTTGTTCTTATTAGTATATTAAAAATAAAGTATACTTCCACCTCTGCAATTCAGGGTCTCATTCTTTCTGAACTTTAAAAATTACCTCCTTGTTGGTCTAGGTTTTTCTGACACCCTCCTCTTCATATTCCATCTCTATTGTTCACATCTCCTTCTGCTCTATCTTGCTGTCTTGAGAATCTTTCTGAAACATGGATCTGAGGAAGTGAGGTAGACTACCGACCTTCAGTGCTTCCCAATGCCCCGGGCCCTCTCCACACGCAATGCTAGGACCTGCTGTGGGATGGCCTTTGCTCACGCTGTTTCTTCTGTCTGAGCCTATGCATCTATCTCAGTGTCTAGCAAGGACTCAAGCCATGTTAGGAATTTAGTACATGGTTTAAATAAATGAATGGATTACAAAGCCATATTAGATTAAATATCTCTTTGGTTATTTTTTAAAAACCTAGATGTATGTTTATGATTGTAACATTTGTTGAGATCACATCTATTTCAGATGTAAAATGGAATCTGAAATAAAATCCCTTCTCAATGAAGAGAACATTGGAAACGAATGTCTTTGTGACCTTACAAATTTTGGTAAGATTTGTTTAATCCTATATTTAAAGGGGAGTTTTATTTTGAAGAATGAGAATGGGCCACTCACTTCATGTTCTTTTAATATTAACTGCCGTTAGTTTTTTTCTAAAGGAATCCCCAAATAAATCTGTACTCTAATGATCTGTTCTTGGAGACACTTAAGATAATAATGTGTTCCTTTGATTCCATTTTGTTTCACCATAGAGCAAGAGCTATCAGAACAATGGTGCACATATCTTAAAAATGTGATAAATCCTATTCAGCAGCTGAGAGCAGATCTAAAATACAGACAGCATCACACTTTGCAGCATTCACACCCACATGTTGAGTTTAACTCTGTGAAAGTATTGGAAGAGGTTAGTATGTTACCTTTATTTTCGATAATGTAATACTTCATTTTTGTCCCAACTAGAAGAGTTTGAGATAAGAAACAAACATGTGTGACTTGTGTATTCGTTAATATTAATATGTAATTAATATCTTAAATAGGTCAGCTAATTCTATCCACTAAATATTTTTTTGAGTTATTCTTTTATATGTGTATATATATATATATTTTTATTATACTTTAAGTTCTAGGGTACACGTGCACAACATGCAGGTTTGTTACGTATGTATACATGTGCCATGTTGGTGTGCTGCACCCATTAACTCGTCATTTACATTAGGTATATCTCCTAATGCTATCCCTCCCCCCTCCCCCCACCCCACGACAGGCCCCCAGTGTGTGATGTTCCGGACCCTGTGTCCAAGTGTTCTCATTGTTCAGTTCCCACCTATGAGTGAGAACATGTGGTGTTTGGTTTTCTGTTCTTGCAATAGTTTGCTGAGAATGATGGTTTCCAGCTGCATCCGTGTCCCTGCAAAGGACATGACCTCATCCTTTTTTATGGCTGCATAGTATTCCATGGTATATATGTGCCACATTTTCTTAATCCAGTCTGTCACTGATGGACATTTGGGTTGATTCCAAGTCTTTGCTATTGTGAACAGTGCCGCAATAAACATACATGTGCATGTGTCTTTATAGCAGCATGATTTATAATCCTTTGGGTATATACCCAGTAATGGGATGGCCGGGTCAAATGGTATTTCTAGTTCTATATCCTTGAGGAATCACCATACTGTCTTCCACAATGGTTGAACTAGTTTACAGTCCCACCAACAGTGTAAAAGTGTTCCTATTTCTCCACATCCTCTCCAGCACCTGTTTTTTCCTGACTTTTTAATAATCAGCATTCTGACTGGTGTGAGATGGTATCTCATTGTGGTTTTGATTTGCATTTTTCTGATGACCAGTGATGATGAGCATTCTTTCATGTGCCTGTTGACTGCATAAATGTCTTCTTTTGAGAAGTGTCAGTTCATATCCTTTGCCTACTTTTCGATAGGGTTGTTTGTTTTTTTCTTGTGAGTTTGTTTGAGTTCTTTGTAGGTTCTGGATATTAGCCCTTTCATCAGATGAGTAGATTGCAAAACTTTTCTCCCATTCTGTAGGTTGCCTGTTCACTCTGATGGTAGTTTCTTTTGCTGTGCAGAAGCTCTTTAGTT